TATATGATTAATTTCTAACAAAATTAATGACACACACACACACATATAACACCTAAATTGTATGAAACATATTGAAGTCAACATATCAAAATAAAAACTATAATAAAATTAATTTCGATAAATTCTAAATAAATATATATAAAAATGCAAACAAAACTTGTAAATTCTTTTAAGCGATTATTAATTTAAAAAAATATGAGTCAAACTATCTAAAACCTACTTTTAACTCTCTCTCACTCTCTCTCTCACTCTCTCACTCACTCGATAATTTATAAATTATAACAATATATTTTAAAAAATAAAAAACTCATTTAAAAAGCACAAGAAGAATTTATTGTGTAAATTATAATAATATATTTTAAAAAATAAAAATTGACATTCTAAAATTTTAATGCAAAATTCATATATTAAAAACTAAATTTATTAACAAATAAAATCATAAAAAAATTAACTTGATGTGAATTTTAATAAGAAATAAATAATTAAAAAAATAAATTTAAACAATAAAATTAATATAATTGGATATGTACTCTCTCTCTCTCCGTGTATATATATGTTAAAAAAAATTAAAAACTCATTTAAAAAAGTAAAAAGAAAAAAAAAAATATATATATATATATATATATAGGGGGAGAGAGAAGCGCCTAGTTGGCTTGTGCAACCAAGTTGCACATTATTATTAGAAAAAAAAAACAAGAAGAAGAAAGTGTGGAGGCTAGGCGTGGTTGGCCCGTGCGGGCGAGCCCCCGCACTGTGCCTTGCTCGTAAAGAAAAAAAAAATTGCAACTTCCGACGAACCCGAGGTCGTCGAAAAATCTAGGGTCAATTTTTAGATCCTTAGAAATTGAATTCCGGCATCATTTTTTTTCCCAAACACTTCTAAATGATTGAAATAAAGCCAATAAACACCTCTAAAACCTTAAAAATTATTTTAATACACACAAAAATAAAGAAAAATACAAAATCAAATCTGATTTTTTCTCCTTTTTGGCTCCAATCTACATCTTCTAATTGTTTAATGGCTTGAAACCATTATGGGCAAACTCATTTCTCAAAGATAAAAAAATCTAGTGGGTTTTCGCCGACGAGAGAAGCCTAAATGAGTTTGGCCGACGATCTTTCTCTCTCTCGTCTTTCTCTTCCTCTCAGCCTTCTCTCTCCATTCAGGAAGCAAAATGGATGAGTAAATGAATATGTTAATCGAAATATGCGTTTGAAAATATTAAGGACCAAAGTGTAAAAAAATGATTATGAATAATGAAACGTACTCGTGAACTGTGAGAGGGTGAATAATGAAATGTGAGAGAATGTACGAGTGTTTTAAATAGTAACGCTATAGTAATCAAACGTTTTTCTTTAGTTTTTTAGTAAATATGTATCCTCCAAATATTAATTTTTAATCAATAGTACCCCAATCAAAAGCAATTAACAAAAACCATTTATCTTCTTCTATAATAAACCTGAAGGACAAAATACTTTGATGGTTTCTCTTTTTATGTGCAGGATTTGATCTAGATTTAGAGTGGCAATAAATGGTAGATTTTTTTTATAATTAAAAAAAAAAAGAATTACGAGAATAAATGCACGAAGACGTTGATTGCCTGCATGATTTTGCATTTTGATATCTAACAAGAATTTTTGAAGCAAAATATTTAGATGCTTCATAATTAATTCTTCACATTCATCCTCATGTGCCACTTTTTTTATATATTAAAAAAAATCTCTATCTCTATAATTTGGAATGATCTGAAAAAAATTTGAAGGTTCTAAAAAAATCATATGCACTTATCTCTTTATTTTTAGTACGATTCTCAAAATATTTAAACTTTAGTAAGGTGTTATGCATTCGATTATGTAAATATTTCGTGAATCATACTAAAAATAAGCAAAATAAGCATATAAATGTATATATATTTTTAGGACTCTCAAAAAAAAAAATCGAGATCATTATAAATTATTTTTTTATTTTTTTTTACAGATTTTTGTAAATATTCAACGTTTAAGAAAAAATAAAAATATTTTCTAATCTCAAAAACTTTTGAAAATAGATTGGATTTCTATTAGCATGTTGAAATTTTCAGTTTAAAATATCAAAAAATAAAATTTTTATAGATATTTTTTTTACTAAATAAAAATGATAAATTAACAGTGCACTGCCAAATAAAACTAAGTTACAAAAAGAGAATTGAAATGGAGGATATAATTATAAGTTTTTAAAAAATAAAGGACTAATTATAATTGTGCTGAAAACAGAGGGATGGAAGAATAATTTACTCTTTTTTTTCCTTTCCTTGAGACAAAACATATCACCCACAAAATCTAAATCTAATTATAACCACAAATGAAATCAAGTACATTATTTTTTTTTCTCTCTAAATGAGTATTTTTAAAAAACTATTCCAATAATGATTTCTTTTTCTTTCCCTTTATTTCTTGAGATAATATGATAAATATTCACACAACGAATATTTTTATAACAAAAAAGTAACACCTACCCTCATGAATTAAATGATCAAATTTTTAACAAAATTATTATCTTCACCACTATATCTATTTCCATTCGTGAAGAATTCAATATCTTTTTTCATTATCTGTAGCAAAACCGTAGACAATATTAGCATGTGACACCTCTTAGTTCTTATCCTTATTTTTTTTTTCCATCTATATTAAATTATAAATTAGTTTCTTTAGTTTTGAAAAATGAATTATGTAGTCCCATTTATTTCAAAAATTAATTATTTAGTTTTTATATATTTTTAATTTTTTTATAACTTATTTTTTAATTTTTTTTAAAATATAAAAACATTGATTAAAAAATATGACATTTTATGAAATAAAATAATATTAAATTAGACGTGGTAAATGCAAGTTTAAAAAATAAATAATTAAATTTTAAAACAAAAAAGAATAATTAATCTGTTTTTTAAAATAAAGAGAGTAATTTATAATTTATTCTTTTTATTTACTACCTTGGTTACAAAAGTTTGTCCATTTTGATTTTTAATACAAATTAAAAAAGTCATTAATTATTAAACCAGCATCTTTCGTACTTTTCAAAAATATTTTTTTAATTTTATTTGAATAATTTTTTATAAACTTAATTTTAATTAAAAATAAAAATAAAATAATTTTTAATTATAGAAACATTTTAAATAAGATATAATAATAATAAAAAAAAGTGTATGATCATGGACTTGCGAAATCCGATTTGGGTAAGACAACAAGAAAGCCTCTAGAACTAGAGCCCACAGTTTTTGAGCTCATTTTTTGTCCTACGGTTTTCTATAGAACCTTGTGGGAAAAAAAAAAAAAAAAAAAAAACCGCTGGCTCGAAATTCAGAGGCGGTTGCCGTGTTTTTCTCGTGTTCCTGTCTTGTTGCCCAAGTTTAACAGGGCATCATATGAAATAATAAAATCTCCAGCAACAGAAAAACAAAAAAGTTTTGAACTTTTAATTTTGCTAGACTATTACTCTATTTTTTTTCTTGTATATACAGTGCCATTTTTACTTCTTCTGAAGCGTCAAGCTTAACCAGCTGCTAAAAAAGGCTAGTTTCTCTTTTCTTTTTGGTTTTGTTTTTGGGTTTTGAATTAGAATTGAAGAAGATTCATTCGGTAGTTGATTTTTCTTTAGTAGTTATAAGAATAAGAATGTTGTATATTTTTTTGCTTAGTTCGATTTTAATTCAATTTTGTTTTGCTGATTGCAGATTTTTGGTGCTGATTTTTAAGATCATTACGTTCTTTCTAAACATAGCAGAGTTCTGTTACAATATATAATAATAATGGTAAGGATTCCAAGCAATCGTTCTCCTTCTCCTTTCTTTTCTTTCCTGTTCAGTGACTATTTTTTTTAAAAAAAGTTTGGTTCTTTTGACGTTTTTGCCAAATGGGTTGCATTTATTTTCACCATTAAACAAGTAATTGGGCATTTCACAAGCTTTTGTCTTGATATTTTTCACTGTGGGTTCTAGAAGTTGAAACCTTTTTTTAATCTTATTCTAAGAAACATGGTGTAATGATCAAGCAGTTGAAGGATAATAACTAATGATCAAGCAGTTGAAGGATAATAACTACTTCTATAATTTAGAGGGTGTAATCATCCAGATGCATCATTATGGTTGCAAGCCTACAATATTTAATTTTAGACAGAATATTCTTGCTATTAGTTGAACATATGCAACGCAGTGAAACTTTTTCCTGGGGTTGAGACTTGAGATTTGAATGTAATTTGCAAATAGTGCAACCCAATTGGGTTGTTTGATGAGTGAAAGAATGATGGCATTTGGGGTCATGGATTTCAAAGATTAGCCTTTATACAATGAAAGATGAAGCTGGTAAATAAATTAACAGTATAAACCTGGGTGCAGAAGATTTAAAAACATGATTCTAATTAGAGATGAGAAGCATACATGAAAGGTAGAAAATGTGATTAAGGTGTCATCTTGCAGAAGTAGGCTTTTCACTGTTGGCTCTCTGTAAGCTGTGGAGTTGGTTTCAGATTACTCCGTTCTCATGAATTGTGCTGAGAACTCAACAAAAATTTTGAGGTTTTTGCAAAGCATGTAACTTCTAAAGATTTGATCTTTCAAGGATTCTTGAACAGGTTATTTTGCTTTGCTTTTCACCCAATATTGGTTGAATATGTTCCAATAAACGCATACATCTGCATTTACTTTCCAGAAGTTGATTGAATGATGGATCATTGATATTGTTATGCTAGTTGAACCTCATTTTCAGTTATATTAGAATGGCCGTTGAGAAGTCCCATCTTTCTTGGCATGCGAAGACAAATTTATTCATTATAGCTCTCATATGCATGCCGAATCTATTTTATTTTTCACCATGTTTATGTGGTAAGTTTGACCACTATGTTGTTGTTGAATAGACATAGTGCAGCAATCTCATTACTCAGCATTCTTCGTTGTTGGCCACACACAAGGATGCCTATGTGAGAAAGTAATAGAATGAGAAGATAGAAAGAAAGGATACTAAATTGGATGGTTGAGGTCTTTAGATTATAAGCTTTCTTCAATGCAATATATTTGCTAAAAATCTGATTATTCAATATTTTATTTGGGCAGAGGCTGTATTTAATTTGTAAACAGTCTATAACCAATAATGGCTAGCAGGCTGATTTAGCAGTAACTATCGTCATTCATTACTTCTTCCATATTTTAGTAGGTTCATAACTCAGATGAGTGTCCACCTGCATAATTTGTTTCCCTTTGTCAGGAATCTCCTCTAGTGTTAGGTGCTACTGTGGCAGCTGCTGCCTGGAGTGGAAGATTTTTAATTGGAGCATGGCAAGCATTCAAAGCTCGGCCTGTAGGTCCGCGTGTTCGAAGATTTTACAATGGTGGCTTTGAGCAGATGATGACCAGGAGAGAAGCAGCTTTAATCCTTGGAGTGAGGTAAATAGTCCGTATCCAAGCCTGATATCTATTTTGAGTTGGATGCTTTCTGGGTTTACTAGCGAATTGGTTTTACATTTGAATTTTCGACTTATTCTAGTAGGTCAGTGGTAATGTGCTTGCTCGAACGTTCAACTTGTCGGGTTGGGTTTCCCAGCAAAACTTGTGACATATTCCCAATTCATATTTTCCGGATTCAGTAAACAATAGCATGCAGATTGCTTTAAACATATTAAAGGCGTGAAAATCAATTGATTAAAAAATATCTTTGGCCAGATGGATGGTTTGGGGGAACTTCTCCCCTTTTTGAATTATTGGTTCTCTCTGTGCATCGCTACATACATTGAAGTTGTTGATATCTTGTTTTATCTTTCGATGTTTTTTTCCAATTCAGTTGCAAATTATGTGTGCGTTTCCTCCTCTTTGTTTCAGAGAGAGTGCTGTGATGGAGAAGATCAAGGAGGCTCATAGGAGAGTGATGGTAGCAAATCACCCTGATGCTGGAGGGAGCCATTATCTTGCTTCAAAGATTAACGAAGCCAAGGATATCATGTTGAGGAAAACTAAGGGGGTTGACTCTGTATTTTAGATGATACACACGGAAGATACCAAAATAATACAAGATTAAAGAGTTCTATTTTTTGTTTCCTTGTAATCTTCAGAGCCTCTTGTAATTGTCCTAAACCGGACACCTTGATTTTTTAACTTCTATGTTTACCCTGTATGAGATGGGAGCTTCGTGATGAACTCTTGGTTGGTTGAGATTTTTTTTTCTTTCATTTTGAATTACAAATTGAACATGGAAAAGGTAAAAAGATAGCCAATAGTCTGCCGAAAAAGATATTTGTAATCTAGAACCTTATCTTCCAATCTAAAGATGATTATAAAAATTCATCCTTCTTCAAATCTAGCTAGTTGGGAGATTGAAAATATGTAATGCAATAGATATAAGTAAAGCAATTCTAAGAGCCAGTCAGTAAGTATAGCAAGCCTGCTGGCATCTATGTCTTTTTGATCAATTCTTCCAAAGAAATCTGTGGAAGGCCTTTTTCTCTCTCTCTCTCTCTCTTTTTTTTCTCGCGCTAAAATCCCAAGAAAATGAAATAATTAAACGACAGCTTAAGCTTTGGAATGGATAGAAATAGAAAAACTTCTGATGTGCTCAAATGCTTGTAAATATCAGGAGCAAAGGTTAATTAGACAAAGCTGTGCTTCCTGATAACTGTACCAACCCTGACAATTTTATCATCCATTGCAGTGCATCAGAAAGTCTATTTGCTGCAATCTTTTTCCGCAAGTATATATATATATATATTCCTAATTTAATTTGATGTATTTTTGGATGAATCAATGTCTAGGTGTAATTCCTTCAAGACCAAAAAGACAGCAGAAAAAAACAATGAAGGTGTTAGAAAAACAGCAATATAAGCATGCATCCCTTAACTGTTACGTTACTTTCTTTTCGTGCACTCGAGATTTGACATATTGCTCTTCTTCACTTTTTGTTTCAAAAACGTTTCAAAAACTGTGGAAACGTATTAGAAAACAGAAGGTGAAAGAGCAGCATTTGAAGGAAAATTTGAACAAAATATAAATATATTCATAATTGTTCATTGCTTTTTTTCAGAGCACTCGAGATTTTGACATATTACTCTTCTAGTTTCCACAGTTTCTGAATTTGTTCAAAAACTGCGGAAATGTTTTTGAGACAAAAAGTGAAAGAGCAGCATTTTGAAGGGAAATTTGAGACCTTTGACCATTTGGTTCATGTTATTTGTTTTGGCATTTGGGTCCCGCAACTTCATCTTTGACCATTAACGTTCATATTGAAAACTTAATACTAAAAGAACCAAAATAAAATAAATGTTAAATTATAGTGACTGAAACATAACTTTTTCCATTGGATGCCTGTGTTGTGCATTTGTGCTGTTTGATATTTTATTCCAGATATCAGCCCATCAAATCAAATGAAGCAAGATAGAAAATCTGATCCCAAGAATTGTGAACTAGTAGACTTTTACAGGCATAACGTTATCATCCAAAAAAAGTTGATTGTTCTTCAATTTCTTCGATGAAGTTGGTTCTCTTACAATGAAATAACAGGTCCCCTCAGAAGGCAGAGACAAAAGGTTGAATTAGGCTAAAATATCACCATTTCAGGGACTTATATGTAAGTTATTAAAATATAAGTACTTATACGTAATAAAGCTCCAAATTTGAGTGTCTCTTTTTGTTCTTTATCCGTTACAATCAATGACAGAATAAAAAAGAACAGGCAATGACAAGAATCTGACGAATAACCTGGATTGTCTCTTCTGCTCTTCTTACAACAACTCACTCACTCATCCTCCAGCCATCAACAACAAAAACAATAGCTTGTTCTTCAAAACCAATCTCTTTTTGTTCTCTCAAAAACGCAACTTCACTTCATCACTCCCTGTCTTTCACTCTCAGATAATGGATTTGGACAACAAGAATCAAGAACCAAGAAGCTCATTTGATTTCTTAAGCCAAAAAGGCCTATACACCACCTTCATGGGCTTCGGATTTGAAACCCATTCCTTCTCATACCTTCTCTCTTGGTCACCTCCCTACTCCTATTCACAAATGGAACCTTCCCAACCTGCCAACCAACACTGAAGTTTATATAAAGGTCAACGCTTTTTTTTTTTTTTTTTTTTATGTCTATGATAAATTCAACTTATTTCAAGAAATCCCACCATGAAATTTTGATTCTTTCTTTGTTTTTTTGGGCGTGGATGGATTTGTTTGTGTAGAGAGATGATTTGTCTGGGATGCAAATGAGTGGTAACAAAGTGAGAAAGTTGGAGTTCTTAATGGCTGATGCTGTGGCTCAAGGTGCTGACTGCATTATTACAGTTGGTGGTATCCAAAGTAACCATTGCCGTGCCACTGCTGTTGCTGCTAATTACCTTAATCTTGATTGCTACCTTATACTTCGTACTTCAAAGGTTGGATCTTTGTTTTGTTTCTATGTTCTGTTATGTGTTGTTTTTATGTTTTTGTCAATTAGATGAATGGTTTTGATGTATTTTTCAGGTTCTTGTGGACAAAGATCCTGGATTGACTGGAAATCTACTGGTGGAGAGATTAGTTGGAGCTAATGTTCAACTTATTTCAAAAGAAAAATATGAACTAATTGGGAGTGTGGTTTGTTTTCATAACCCAACAATTCTTAATGCATGTGTATTGGTGATTGTTATGATTTCAGACACCTTTTGATGCCTTAATGATTTTATTTTTTATTTTTTTGCCTATTGCTATTGTAATAAAAAAATATAGCTTCTGTAATTGTGTAAACTATTGTGGAGTTTTAAAACAACTGCCTATTAAGTAGAATTATTTGAAATCAATCACCAACTCGCCATCATCCTCGGACCTTACTTTCTTCCATTTAATTATTTGGCTCACTTTGTTTTCTGCAAATATTTGAGTTGTGGAACTCAAGTATACAGATTATAAAGAGTATATTATATGTGTTTTAAACTTTTACTTTAGAGATACACTAGTTGGTTCCCGCGCTATGCTACGGATCCGATATAATAAAATTATTTTAAATTTTAAATTTTTTTTAATTATAATATTTTTTAATTAGTTTTTTTTTATTTTTTTATAAATTTTCTATTTAAAAAACATAAATCATTTTTCTTTATGGATTGATTTTAAAATTAAAAATTATAATAATTTTAAATAAAATTATTAATTAAGAATTGAAAAAAAAATTTAAAAATATAATTTTCACAATATTGTATTAAAAAAAAGTTACAATTAATGAATAGATTTTTACAAAAATTAATTAATAAATAAAAATTCTTATTTAATGCTGATAAGAAGATTAATTTTTGAAATTATCCGCTTAACGCTACATGTAAATAGAGCAAAATCATTTCAAAATGTTATAATTTTTTCATTAACTTTTTATTTAATTATTACTATTTTTTGTGTGTTTTTCATAAAATTTATGCTAAAAAAACATGATTTATTCTTCGTTATTCAGTAATTCTTAAATAAAAGCTTACAATAATTTAAACCTAAAATATTAATTAAGAATTCAAAAACAAATACTTTAAAATTATATATTTTTTATAAGAATGTATTCAAAAAATAAAGTTACAATGAATGTATAGATTTGCATAAAAATTAACCAATAAAAAAATAAAATTTTTATTCTTATTTAATGTTGGTGAGAAGATTAATTTTTTTCCAAGTATATGCATTTGATTTATATATATTTATGTATAAAATAATCAATAAAATTAGCAAAAAAATACAGTATTTGAATAATTGGTTGGTTCCTTTAAAAAATAATTTTAATTATTTCATTCCAAATAAATTGGTTTTATAATGTTAAAAAAATATTTATAGTAAATAATTTGTATTATATTGAAAGATATATAATTAATTTTTTATAAAATCAAAGATTCAATAATTTTTTTATATGTATTGACCATACCTAGTGAATTGAGACAAATTATTTGAAATACACTTTGAAATTTTTAGAATGAAATAATTATATATTTATGCATATGCAACTATAATTTAAAAATTCTAAAAATTCATGATATATATTATACCATTTTTTTTAAAATCATGTTCTAAAATTTTATTCTAAAATTCAAATATAAAGAAAAATAAATTATATAATATCAGTAAATAAAATTTTATATAAAAAATAATAATCGGTTGAGAATTTTTATAAAAAATGATAAATTCAAAGAATAAAATTTAAATAATAAGAGTAATATAAGCTAAAATATATGTTAATTTTAAAATATAAATATATATATAATCATTAGTTTATGTAGAAAAAAGTTACGATTAATTTTTTAAAATTTTAACACCATATTTAAAAAAAAAAGAACATAAATTGATGAAAAAAGTAAAAGAAAAATTAATTTTTCAAAATTTAATATTCAATCAAATAAAAAAAAACATAAATTAACAGAAAAAAGCAAAGAAAGAAACTATAAGAAAAGAAAAGAAAAGGCATTTGTGATGCATTAGTCCAGGGATTAAAATTTTTATTTTAACTTTTTAGGGACCAAATGAAATAACTTAAAAATTAAAAACAAAAAAAAGCCCAAGCTCCGGTGGAACAGTGGTTTAAATGAACAGTAAATCATTGGTCCTTTAGCTCAGACGGTTTAGTTTGATAGTAAATTGTAAATGCTTGTATATCTATGTTTCTAGTTCATGATTGTCGGAAGTTACAATGCATAAGATTCCATTTTTCTGCAAGAACAATTACATCTTGCATGGATCTTCTAATTTTAGTTTCTTTACGGTTTATTAAATGGATCTTTTCATCGCTGCAATTTCATTCTAACAACATGGTTCTCTGCCTGTAACTTTAGAAAGTTTGTCTTTGATATTCTATTCAAAGCAATGCATAAACATCTTAGTTGCCAGTTGAACTCAATAGTTAATTTCTCTGATAATTTCTTTTGGCATACTGGAGGAGCTGATTCTCTGTCTAATTTGTATATTCTTTTTGATCTGTGGCATCAGAATCTCACTAGTTTCTTAAAAGAAAAGTTGCTAAAGGAAGGGAGAAAGCCATATGTCATTCCTGTTGGTGGATCAAATTCCTTAGGGACATGATGAGTCTGTATAGCAGATGCACTTCTCCTTCGCAATACCATTTCAAGTTCGCTAAATTCTTTTACCCAACCTCCTGATCATTGTTTAATCTTGTCAAACGTTTAAGATTTATTTCTACATCTGCTTTATGATCTCTCATTTAAACGAATGACTGTACTATTCCTATGCAAACTTGGTTGGCACCTTTGTTTCTGCAAGAAACTATTTGTCTTCTTAACAAGTTCGTTACCATGAGCAACATAATGCTATTAAATTCCATTCCCAATTTTTATAAATTTGAGTTTTTTTTTTTTGGCAGACATTGTTTTGGCTGGTGTATCTTTTCTGAAGCATCTAATCGACAATTTTATTTTATTCTGAAAATTTCGTTCAGGGGTTATATTGAAGCAATCAGAGAAATTGAGCAGCAAGTTCAAACTACTGCTGGCAAAGTAAAATCTGATGATATTGTTTCAGCATGTGGCAGGTTCTCCTCTATTCAATCTGTTAAATATTTTGGAGATAATGGCATGCTCTTTCTTTTTTCCCTCTTTCCTCTCCTCTCAAAGCAAGGTTAACCTGTTTTAATTCTCACATGAAAACTCTATACTATCGATGAATGTTTCTTTTATTACTATTACTATTGCTACTTCTAAGAAGGTATGGAAGTGTACGTCCAAAGTAAATATCTGAGCCATGGCATGCAATATGGGATAAAATTGTCGGTTCAAGAGTTTTAATCAGAGATATTTTGAGCCACTAATCATTTCTAGCCTCTAATTATCTGGTGAGGCTAGTTAATGTTTCCCCTGCTGTTCATCCAATTCAAAATCCTCAACCATGCTGGCATCAGACCTTGATGTGGTAGCCTAGCCCTGGATGTTCTAGATTTACCGAAACCTGTCTGTTCATCACTTTTGTGATTCCTTTTTCTAGATAATTGTCAAATGAGTCCCTGTACTTCTACTCTCTTGAAGCCACTTAATTGAGCTCAATTTCGCTGCTATCTGCAAGTTGGATATCTTCACTGCACCTTTTTCTCACCATTAGTGGCTTTCCCCTGCGTTCTCATTTCACCTCATTCTTTTTCTTTTTCTTTTTCTTTTTTTAATCCTTACCAGTCATCGCCAGCATCCCTATCATCTTCATTATAAATTGTAATTGAACTGACATTTCTTTAAGTGGATAAAGGGGAAGTATAGGCACATGAGAACTCGGCTTAAAGATTGTCAGCCCAAGATTTAACTGGTTGAGAACCCTTCTCACAATTATTTTAACTGTTGTCTTTCGTTTGCTAATAATTTGAGTTTCGGATTCTTAGTGAAAGGTCTCAAAATCTGCCAAAAGTATGAGATGGTTTTACAGTATGAGTACAAGCATCTGGCCTGATCATTATGATGTTCGATGTTGTGCTTATTACTGCACTTGCCCTTATTGAGTGGAATCTGTGTTAAATGCTGTTCACTTGTGGGCTTTGACTAGTAAAGCCTTTGGTGTTGGCGTTTGATCAATAATATACACATTTTTCAGCGTCTATTGTTGTTATTCTGCAAGCATAGTGCTTATCCAGAAACTATTGCTGCCATACTATGCTTTTCTCACCATTCAAGAAAAATCAAATGACTTTTTTTTGTTATTGATTTTTAGGGGAACAACAACTGCTGGTCTGGCATTGGGATCGTGGCTGGGAACATTAAAGGCAAAGGTATGTCTTCCTCTCTAGGAATTCTCATTTTATGTCCTTTATATGTCAGTTAACTTGGCTTGCATATTCCCTTATTTGTAGGTTCATGCATTCGCTGTTTGTGATGATCCTGATTACTTCTTCAACTATGTTCAAAACCTAATTGATGGACTTGAAGCAGGTGTTGACTCGCATGATATTGTAAACATCCAAAATGTGAGTGCTTCATCACAGTTGTGAACATATTCTGTTTTGTGTTTAGTGCAGCATATTATAAATCTATCTGATACTGGGGTTATTTCCCCTTGCTTCTGCTTCCTTCTTCGCTTTTTGGATTGGTGTTGGAATGAGTAGAGAGCTCTTTTTGTTGTTGCATATATTTTAAAGGATTCACACAAGTTTATGTTCTGCTTAGTTTATTTTGTGCATGCCATTGTATAGTTACTCTACTGATTAACCTGTTCTTCATATTTTCACCTCGTAATTTTCCAGAAATGTGCTAGTTCCTACTTCCTACCTTTTTCCAGAAATTTATTGTTTCATCTGCAATTGAATGTATGTGCTTCAATTTATAAAACAACTTATATGTGAGTTTTATTCTATTATGGAAGTTTCAAATTTCAATGGCAAACTAAAAGCTTGTAGTTTTTTTTTCTTATAAATAATGTTTCTGCACAAGGTGTCTGGTTGTTTGGCTAAATTTATAACAGGAAATATCATATAACTGTTGTTCATTTTTTTCTTCTCACAGGCCAAAGGACTGGGCTATGCAATCAATACCTCCGAGGAGCTTAAATTTTTTAAGGAAATTGCTACAGCTACAGGAGTTGTTCTTGATCCAGTTTACTGGTATGGTACAGCCATTCTATTATATGATCGACAGTCCTTGCCATTTTGCATGTCACTATTTTCTTCATCGTGTTTGCTATGTTTGGAATCATCTCGTATTTTAACGACATAAAAAGGCGTAATCAAACAAAAGAAAATAGTAAGGGCAACATTATTATGGTTCCATGAAATTTCTCCACAAGTCACTTCTTTTGCATCCAAACCAAATGGAGCATTAATACTTTGCTTCTAGAAATATCCCTGTAGGTCAACGGAGCTGTCTTCCTTTTTGTATTATAATAACTGAAAAGTATAATAAGGGACATGGTGACTAGTCGTGTCCGCAGTGGGTGTAAGAATTCAGAAGGATCGTTTTTGATGGTTGCAGGCCAACCAGGAGGAACTGGCATGGCTGAATGTTTTGAGCAGTAAAATTTAGTGAGGATCTATAACAATAGTTAATATAACTACAAGTTAAAAACCGAGCATAGCTTCCAATTTAGCTTTAATCTTGAATACACATTCGTAGTGTGAATATCCTGAAGTTCACTGATACTTCCATTGTGCTATCATTGTAGTGGGAAAGGTGCCTATGGAATGATGAAAGACATGGCAGAAAATCCAAAGAAATGGGAAGGGAGAAAGGTCCTCTTCATACACACAGGAGGTCTCCTTGGATTGTTTGACAAAGTAGACCAGATGTCTTCATTGGTCGAAAATTGGGGCCGGATGGATGTCCCTGAATCTGTTCCAAGAAAGGATGGTGCAGGAAAAATGTTCTAGTGAAGAAAATCCAGTTTTTCAGCTCCTTTCTCATTTATTTTCTCGGTAAATCCCAAAGTTGTGTTTCATAATGATGCATGAAAACTCTATGCTTGTATTCTTGTACAGATAAAAAGAAAGGAGGAAACTACAACTTCAATCTTGTACTCGGATTGACAATAATGAGATTGCATCCAGCACAGGTGGTTTACATGCAACTATGTTGATCCTAGTAAAAAGAGCTTTAGATTGCACATTCTTTTAACTTTCAAGTCTATGTCAAGTAAATAGGATTTTGCTATATGCAGGACTTTGGAAAGTCTGTTTAGGGCTTCAGACCCCGATTAGAGTAAGTGGATTGCGAACCAAGGAATTTCAAGGAACATTTAGCTGTTGGGGGTGTCATTTCCGACTTTTAAGTAGTTAGAAACTGAGGATTCCATTTCCAGAGCCTGCAATCATCAAAAGTTTACTTGATGCTTATGTAGGTTGGATGTATCTTTTTGTTTTATTTTTTTTATAACAAAGTTGGCTAGAGACACTAGCTCTGTTTTGACATCAGAAGAAGACTTGGACATTAACATTTTCACCCATAGTTAGATGTATCTATTAAAACCATTACCTTTTCCCTGGAATATGTGTTATCGGTAATGTAGCAAAACTTTGGAATGGATAGAAATAGAAAAACTTCTGATGTGCTAAAATGCTTGTAAATATCTGGAGCAAAGGTTAATTAGACAAAGCCGTGATTCCTGATAACTGTACCAACCCTGACAATTCTATCATCCATTGCAGTGCACCAGAAAGTCTATTTGCTGCAATCTTTTTCCGCAAGTATATATAAAAAATTAATTTAGGAATTAATTTGATGTATTTTTGGATGAATCAATGTCTAGTTGTAATTCCTTCAAGACCAAAAAGACAGCAGAAGAAAACAATGAAGGTGTTAGAAAAACTGCAATATTAAGTATGCATCCCTTAACTGTTACGTTACTTTCTTTTCGTGCACTCGAGATTTGACATATTGCTCTTCTTCACTTTTTGTTTCAAAAACGTTTCAAAAACTGTGGAAACGTATTAGAAAACAGAAGGTGAAAGAGCAGCATTTGAAGGAAAGTTTGGGACATTTGAACAAAATATAAATATATTCATAATTGTTCATTGCTTTTTTTCAGAGCACTCGAGATTTTGACATATTACTCTTCTAGTTTCCACTGTTTTTGAATTTGTTCAAAAACAGCGGAAATGTTTTTGAGACAAAAAGTGAAAGAGCAGCATTTTGAAGGGAAATTTGAGACCTTTAAAGGAAACTTAGGTTAAATTAAGTTTTGTCATGCAATTTGAATGAAGTATGGTCACGCAACTTCATCTTTGGCATTTGGATCATGTTATTTGTTTTGGCATTTCGGTCCCGAAACTTCTACTTGACCATTTGCAATGGCTTAAAACGATTTTTTGTTTTTAATTAGGGTTTAATAGTAAATTTTTTCTCCATTCTATTATGATTTTACAATTTAGAATTTATAGTATCAAATCATTTAATTTGAACTCTAAAGTATTGAAAATCAAACAAATATAATCCAAATTGTCCAATCTTTATTGTGTAATAATGAATTTCGAACTCAGAATGGAGATTGGATAATTGGACAAATATGGTTCTATTAAATTTCAGTTATTGAATTATCAGGGTGACATTGGAATTTTTGAAAACTTTAAGATTCATATTGAAAAATTAATCCTAAAGAACCAAAATAAAATAAATATTAAATTATAGTGACTGAAACATAACTTGTTCCATTGGTTGCATGTGTTGTGCATTTGTGCTGTTTGTTATTTTCTTCCAGCCATCAGCCCATCAAATCAAAAGAAGCAATAAGAGGGATCTAGTGAGAAAATCTGATCCCAAGAATTGTTAATTAGTAGACTTTTACAGGCATAATGTTATCATGCAAAAAAAAATTGGTTGTTCTTGAATTTCTTCGATGAAGTTGGATCTCTTTCAATGAAATAACATGACCCCACAGAAGGCAGAGACAAAAGGCTGAATTAGGCCAAAATTTCACCATTTCAGGGACTTGTCTGTAATACATTAAACTATAAGTATTATACGTAATAAAACTGCAAATTTGAGTGTCTCTTTTAGTTCTTTATCCGTTACAGTCAGTAACAGAATAAAAAACAACAGACGATGATAAGAATCTCTGATGAATAACCTGCGAGGATGGTGAACTAAAATATAATAAAATGCTATGCAATAGGTGCTTCTGCTCTTCTTACAGCTACTCATTCATTCCTTCTCCAGTCATCAACAACAAAAACAATAACTTGTTCTTCAAAACCAATCCCTTTTTGCTCTCTCAAAAACGCAACTTCACTTCATCACTCACTGTCTCTCACTCTCAAATAATGGATTTGGACAACAAGAATCAAGAACCAAGAAGTTCATTTGATTTCTTAAGCCAAAAGGCCTATACACCACCTTCATGGGCTTCAGATTTGAATCCAATTCCTTCTCATAACTTCTCTCTTGGTCATCTCCCTACTCCTATTCACAGATGGAACCTTCCCAATTTGCCAGCCAACACTGAAGTTTATTTAAAGGTCAATTTTCTTTTTTTATGTCTATGATAAATTCAACTTATTTCAAGAAATCCCACCATGAAATTTCGATTCTTTCTTTGGTTTTTTGCGTGTGGATGGATTTGTTTATGTAGAGAGATGATTTGTCTGGGATGCAAATGAGTGGTAACAAAGTGAGAAAGTTGGAGTTCTTAATGGTTGATGCTGTGGCTCAAGGTGCTGACTGCATTATTACAATTGGTGGTATCCAAAGTAATCATTGTCGTGCCACTGCTGTTGCTGCTAAGTACCTTAATCTTGATTGCTACCTTATACTTCGTACTTCAAAGGTTGGATCTTTGTTTTATTTCTATGTTCTGTTATGTGTTGTTTTTATGTTTTTGTCAATTAGATGAATGGTTTTGATGTATTTGTCAGATTCTTGTGGACAAAGATCCTGGATTGACTGGAAATCTATTGGTGGAGAGATTAGTTGGAGCTAATGTTCAACTTATTTCAAAGGAAGAATATGCACTAATTGGGAGTGTGGTTTGTTTTCATAACCCAACAATTCTTAATGCATGTGTATTGGTGATTGTTATGATTTCATACATCTTTTGATGGCTTATTGATTTTATTTATTTATAGCCTATTGCTATTGTGCATGTAGCATATTGAAATGCTATTCTTGGGATACGAGAAAATGTGGGGACTCATCAATCTAGGTAGAGAAGCGAGTATTTGACCTTGAATTGCATACGTATTGTAATTAAAAAAATATAGCTTCTGTAATTGTGTAACCTATTGTGGAGTTTTAAAACAACTGCCTATTCAGTAGAATTATTTATGCAAGCCATATTTGAAATCAATCACCAATTCGCCATCATCCTCAGATCTATCCTGTATTACTTTCTTCCATTGATTTGGCTCACTTAGTTTTCTGCAAATATTTCAAGTATACAGACTCTAAAGAGTAGATTATATGTGTTTTAAGCTTTTAATTTAGAGACACATGCTTGTATATCTATGTTTCTAGGTCATGATTGTTGGAAGTTACAATGCATAAGATTCCATTTTTCTGCAAGAACAATTACATCTTGCATGGATCCTCTTATTTTAGTTTCTTTACGGTTTATAAAATGGATCTTTTCATTGCTGCAATTTCAGTCTAACAACATGGTTCTCTGCCTATAACTTTATAAAGTTTGTCTTTGATGTTCTATTCAAAGCAATGCATAAACATCTTAGTTGCCAGTTGAACTCAATAGTCGTGCTGATAATTTATTTTGATGTCAGATATTCATCCAATGCTTTGACTGTTAACGTGGCTTTCAATTGACATACTGGAGGAGCTGGTTCTGTGTTTAATATGTATATTCTTTTTGATCTGTGGTATCAGAATCTCACTAGTTTCTTAAAAGAAAAGTTGGTAAAGGAAGGGAGAAAGCCATATGTCATTCCTGTTGGTGGATCAAATTCCTTAGGGACATGGTGAGTCTGTATAGCAGATGCACTTCTCCTTTGCAATACCATTTCAAGTTTTCTAAATTCTTTTACTCAACCTCCTGATCAGTGTTTAATCTTGTGAAACGTTTTAGATTTATTTCTACATCTGCTTTATGATCTCTCATTTAAACGAATGACTGTACTATTCCTATGCAAACTTGGTTGGCACCTTTGTTTCTGCAAGAAGCTATTTGTCTTCTTAACAAGTTCGTTACGATGAGCAACATAATGCTATTTAGCAAGCAATTACCTGTGATGTCATTATTAAACTCCATTCCCAATTTTTATAAATTTGAGTTTTTTTTTTTTTTTTTGGGCAGACAATGTTTTGGCTGGTGTATCTTTTCTGTAGCATCTAATTGACAATTTTATTTTATTCTAAAAATTTCATTCAGGGGTTATATTGAAGCGATCAGAGAAATTGAGCAGCAAGTTCAAGCTACTGCTGGCAAAGTAAAATTTGATGATATTGTTTCAGCATGTGGCAGGTTCTGCTCTATTCAATCTGTTAAATATTTTGGAGATAATGGCATGCTCTTTCTTTTTCCTTTCTTTCTTTCTTTTTTCCCCCTTTCCTCTCCTCTCAAAGCAAGGTTAACCTATTTTAATTCTCACATGAAAACTCTATACTATAGATGAAAGTTTCTTTTATTACTATTACTATTACTGCTTCTAAGAAGGTATGGGAGTGTATGTCCAAAGTAAATACATTTCTGAGCCATGGCATGCAATATGGGATAAAATTTTCGATTCAAGAGTTTTAATCAGAGATGTTTTGAGCCACTAAACATTTCTAGCCTCTAATTATATGGTGAGGCTAGTTAATGTTTCCCCTGCTGTTGAACCATTATTGCTTCCTGTAGGAATTTAGATAAGCTGTGGCATTATAGGGGCACCTTTTCTGGAAAAACCATTTCCAAAACTATTTAATGGTTTAAGACCTTTTAAACATTTCACTTAATTATCACCAAGACATTATAGCATTCATCTATTTCAGCAAACCAATCTATGATATAATCACGATATCACTTTTGTGGATGGTTCAAGTCAGTTGACTGCTATGTCCTTGTTTCTATCAAGCCTCTTCTAAATACCACACCATCAGTAACCTTATAGCTTCTCATCATAAGAGCCATCAAGGCAACAAGTTTATCACTGTCAACATGATCCAATTCAAAATCCTCAAACCTGCTGGCATCAGACCTTGATGTGATAGCCTAGCCCTGGATGTTCTAGATTTACCTAAACCTGTCTGTTTATCACTTTTGTGATTCCTTTTTCTAGAGAATTGTCAAATGAGTCCCTGTACTTTTACTCTCTTCAAGCCACTTAATTGAGCTCAATTTCGCTGCTATCTGCATGTTGGATATCTTCACTGCAACTTTTTCTCACCATTAGTGGCTTTCCTCTGCGTCATCATTTTACCTCATTCTTTTTCTTTATCATTTTTTAATCCTTACTAGTCATCGCCAGCATCCCTATCATCTTCATTATAAATTGTAATTGGACTGACATTTCTTTACGTGGATAATGGGGAAGTATAGGCACATGAGAACTCAGCTTAAAGATTGTCAGCCCAAGATTTAATTGGTTGAGAACCCTTCTAACAATTATTATAACTGTTTTCTTTTATTTGCTAATAATTTGAGTTTCAGATTCTTAGTGAAAGGTCTCAAAATCTGCCAAAAGTATGAGATGGTTCTACAGTATGAGTACAAGCATCTGGTCTGATCATTATGATGTTTGATTTTGCTACTTATTACTGCACTTGCCCTTACAGAGTGGAATCTGTGTTAAATGCTGCTCGCTTGTGGGCTTTGACTAGTAAAGCCTTTGGTGTTGGCGTTTGATCAATAACATACACATTTTTCAGCATCTAATGTTGATATTCTGCTATCATAATGCTTATCCAGAAACTATTGGTGCCATATTATGCTTTTCTTACCATTCAAGAAAACTCACATGACTTTTTTTTATTTTTGATTTTTAGTGGAGCAACAATTGCTGGTCTGGCATTGGGATCGTGGCTGGGAACATTAAAGGCAAAGGTATGTCTTCCTCTCAATGAATTCTCATTTTATGTCCTTTATATGTCAGTTAACTCAGCTTGCATATTCCCTTATTTGTAGGTTCATGCATTCGCTGTTTGTGATGATCCTGATTACTTCCACAACTTTGTTCAAGACCTAATTGATGGACTTGAAGCAGGTGTTGACTCGCATGATATTGTAAACATCCAAAATGTGAGTGCTTCATCACAGTGGTGAACATATTCTGTTTTGTGTTTAGTGCAGCATATTATAAATCTATCAGGCAAACTGTGATAAAAGTTAGTGTCATTAATGCACATATAGGCATGTAGCATCTGATACTGGGATCATTTCCCTTGCTTCTGTTTCCTTCTTCACTTTTTGGGTTTGTGTTGGAGTGAGTAGAGAGCTCTTTTTGTTGTTGCATATATTTTAAAGGATTCACACAAGTTTATGTTCTGCTTAGTTTATTTTGTTCATGCCATTGTATAGTTGCGCTCCACTGATTAACCTTGTCTTCATATTTTCACCTCATAATTTTCAAGAAATGTGCTAGTTCCTACTTCCTACTTTTTTCCTGATTTTATTGTTTCATCTGCAATTGAATTAATGTATGTGCTTCAATTTATAAAACAACTTATATGTGAGTTTTATTCTCTTACGGAAGTTTCAACTTTCAATGGCAAATTAAAAGCTTGTAGTTTTTTTCTTATAAATAATGTTTCTGCACAAGGTGTCTAGTTGTTTTGCTGAATTTAGAACAGGAAATATTATATGCCCGTCTTTGATTTTTTCTTCTCACAGGCCAAAGGACTGGGCTACGCAATCAATACCTCCGACGAGCTTAAATTTGTTAAGGAAATTGCTACAGCTACAGGAGTTGTTCTTGATCCAGTTTACAGGTATGGTACAGCTATTCTATTATATGATCGACAGTCCTTGCCATTTTGCATGTCACTATTTTCTTCATCGTGTTTGCTACGTTTGGAATCATCTCGTGTTTTAACTACATAAAAAAGGCAATTGTTTATTGAAAAAGTGGTGCTCTCGGGCTTGCAATTGTAAGGAGGCAAATTTGAGAGTGGGATGTCGCTACTTCATGCAAAAATGCTGAACCATGTGACTGTTTTAGGACTTTCCCTCACATGATCCACTTCCATAAGAAAATACTTGGGCACTGACCTTTTTTCATTGTCAGTAGCATTTATTTCAACTTATTAGGCCATAGTTTACTGCTGAAAAAAAAATTAAGGACTGGAAAAGAAGATGGGGAAAATTTGTAGGCCAACGTAATTTTAATGTGAATTCGTTCTCACCAATAGCCATCTGAAGTTCCTTTTCCCTTGCCAATGAGGCATTATTCCTGTGATTGAAGACTTAAGGTTGAGGTATTGGGAATTGGAGTTTGCAGTTTTAGATCACCCACTTCCAAGCTACCAAAAGTTCATAATATGTACTTTTCTGATACAGCGTTAATGCCATTAACATGCAACCCGCAATTGATTATGGGATCCTAAAATGTGAGCAAATGCATTCCAACATTATCATGATTGAAAATAATGCTAGGTTACATCTGTTTATAATCCTTATTTAAAATTGTAATCAAACAAAAGAAAATAGTAAGGGCAACATTATTATGGTTCCATGAAATTTTTCCGCAAGTCACTTCTTTTGCATCCAAACCAAATGGAGCATTAACACTTGGCTTCTAAAAATATCCCTGTAGGTCAACCTAGCTGTCTTGCTTTTGTATTATGATAACTGAAAAGTATAATAAGGGACATGTTGACTAGTTGTGTCTGCCATGGGTGTAAGAATTCAGAAGGATCGTTATTGATGGTTGGAGGCCAACCAGGAGGAACTGGCATGGCTGAATGCTTTGAGCAGTAAAATTTAGTTAGGATCTATAACAATAGTTAATATAACTACTAGTTAACACCAAGCATACCTTCCAATTTAGCTTTAATCATGAATACACGTTCGTAGTGTGAATATCCTGAAGTTCATTGATACTTCCATTGTGCTATCATTGTAGTGGGAAAGCTGCCTATGGAATGATGAGAGACATGGCAGAAAATCCAAAGAAATGGGAAGGGAGAAAGGTCCTCTTCATACACACTGGAGGTCTCCTTGGGTTGTTTGACAAAGTAGACCAGATGTCTTCATTGGTCGAAAATTGGGGCCGGATGGATGTCCCTGAATCTGTTCCAAGAAAGGATGGTGCAGGAAAAATGTTCTAGGGAAGAAAATCCAGTTTTTCAGCTTCCTTCTCGTTTATTTTCTTTGTAAATCCCAAAGTTGTGTTTCATAATGATGCATGAAAACTCTATATGCTTGTATTCTTGTACAGATAAAAGGAAAGGAGGAAACTACAACTTCAATCTTGTACTCGGATTGACAATAATGAGATTGCATCCAGCACAGGTGGTTTACATGCAACTATGTTGATCCTAGCAAAAAGAGCTTTAGATTGCACATTCTTTTAACTTTCAAGTCTATGTCAAGTAAATAGGATTTTGCTACATGCAGGACTTTAGAATGTCCTGATTCGGCAAGAAAGAAATCATGTGCCCAAGGATACTGCTAAATTTTGAGTTTCAACCTGAGACAGTTTAGAAAGAAAAACTCTCTTCACAGTTGGGAAGCACACTTGTCACTGCTGGTTGGGTTTCTGAATAGGATTTAGCTGCCCCTAATGCTTGTTCTAGTCATGGCATGCTAAGATAGATAATTTATCTTCAGCTTCATCTTCAGACATTCTCAGCAATTTGAGGAGAAAAAAACTGAAATCAAACTCGGTTAGCAAGATGAACTTGTGAGTTCCTTTTATTTGGGTGGAAACTCAGAGAAGAAAAACCAGGTAGATTGTACATAAATGACAAAATATTGGAAAGTTTACTCGATTCCTTATTCATCCTTCCTAATCACTTCAGCTTTTCTTCTTCTTTTTTCCTTTTTCTTTTTTTTTTTCTTCGAGGCGATAACTTTTTCTTAATCCTTGATTGGTACCTTTCCAATTGTTGCTCCAACCTTACATCAACAACAGCAACCACAACAACAACGAAAAAGAAAGCTCAACGCATATGAAGGAAGGTGTCATATGGACAACACATGCATGGATCGAAATCTTTTCATGTTCCTATGTTCCTGAGAAAACATAATTATCATATTTATTAAATTTAAATTGAATTATCACAATTTAGGTATAATAAAAATAAAAATAACTTAACCCCTTAATATTTTATTTCTCTCGTTTAATTTGAATTATTGAATTCAAAATTAATGATGAGATTTGGAATATAACCGGTCATGTTTCTATCTATAAGAACATGAAAGAATTCAAATCCACACAAAGAGTATTTCAGGTTTGATGATTTTAAGAACACACTCTCTACATCTAACGTACTAAGTGGAATTCAATAAATTTTTCTCAACCTCGACTGTAAAATTCGAATACAGAAATCAAGAACTGAAGCATACTTTTTGATATTTCACTTCAATCTTTGGATTTGATGCCCAAATACATATTGATCTTAATTTTTTTTTTCCAATTTATCAATATTATCTAAAATAAACAATTTTTAATAATAATCATACCTATTAAAAAAATTGTCTATTATGTTTAAGTACTATAGATTGATATTCTTTCTCGTGTCTGTTAAAAAAATTTATATTGTTTAAGAAAATACCTCATGTGTTTACTTAAACTTTCAGAAATTGTCCATAAAAAGTGTTATTTCTCGCAGTAATAATTCTTTAGAAATATCTATTTGTTGTAGTTTCATCTAGTTATTATATCATATGATAAATTTTTTTATTTCTTTGTATTAATAATCTTTCTAACCTTTGCACTCTTCTTCACAATATCAACAAATACAAATCTGTTATTTATATAACATTAAGAACACTTAAACAAAATGATGTTTAAAATATTAAATCAATCTAATACTTGAAATAATCTCAGCAATCTTACTTTGTCTGTTATGTTTTTTTTTTTTCTAAATTATCAGCAAGTAAATATACATATATGTGACATTTATATATAAAAAAAAAACTAATTTCCATCCCACTTGAGAAATTCATTTTCAAATATGAAATCATTATCACATACATTCATTTCAATTGCTTGAATAACAATAAAAATTCGACTCAATTTACCCTTTTTGTTAGTTATAAAACCAATATCATGAAATTTTTTCATTCAAAATATTTGGATTGGATTATTTAGTTCTTATAGTTTTTTCTATTGGATTTAAAGATGGTAATGGATGGGTACTCTGCTCATTAATTCAATTTTTTATCATACCCATAAAAAAAAAATCATATCCATTACCCATTAAGAAATTACTATATAAATCTTTACTCATACTCAACTCACATTAATTTACCTATCCATTTAACACTCGTTAAAAATAATTTATCCAAAATATTCATTTTAATCCTTATAATTCTTTTAAAAAATGTCATTAAAATTTATTTATTTATTTTTGCATTTTGGTCATTTATTTATAAGTTTTATTGTCCTCAAAGCTTTTTTTAAAAAATATTTTGATCCTTAAATTTTAAAGTTTTTACAATTAGATTCATGTAGGTTAACAAAAAATAAAAATAAATTAATGGGTATTAATAGAGTAGAGATTAAGTACTCATATCCTAAATCATATTAGTTGGTAAGTATTTTCTTATCTTTACTCACTTCAATACATATTGAATATTTTTAATAAGTATTTATTGGATCATACAAAGAGGATATCCTTTTTTATACCTGGTCTATTGTCATCCGTAATTGGATTTGCCTATTTTCATATTTATTAAAAAAAATATTACAATGTATACATTAAAGTGAACTAGGGTATTTTATATATAACTCATCTATGTTGTGAACTTAAGTCAATATATCAATACTGCAAGGGCAAAAGGGTAATAAGAGCATAGGTTTATTTTTTGGTCCTCTCTGGACCTAATCACACAATCATAAAAATTCATGGATGGAAATGTAATTCAGCCTTTGTGAGTGATGGATATGTGTTATGATTCGTGTCGCCACGTCTTTTTCCATAAAGAAAACACCAGCTGGCTGAATTAGGTGGCGGAAAGGCCAAAAACAAAAGTGGACTTGCTGGTTTGACACCACATCTGCAAGTCTATTTGTTTTTCCTACTAAATCATTTTACTATATGTATTTTATGAAAAAAATAATCAATAAAAAATAAATATATTCTGATGTTTATTTATTTAAACAATAATAAATTTAGTTTCGATTAATATGAAAATTAATCTAAAAATATTCTATTATTTGCAAATATTAGGAAGAGAAAAAAGTTGTATTGTATGAGGCAAATCGTTTTGTAGAAGTAGTTTTTTATTTCCTCTCCTTTCATTGTGTGCTGCCCATAAGAGCTTTCTATGGAGCTGAAAATTTGCAAAAACTAAAATAAATTGCGACTTATTTTACAGCTGATAGAGAGGCAAGCAAATGACAAAAAATAATGGTATCTATCAAGGCGTCAATCATCTTTGACAAAAGAGGAAGGATAGAGGGGGGCAATGAATGGATTTATGGACCCCTTGATCGATCCATATTTGGATTTCCACCATTTCACTCTTGCCTTCCTTCTCCTTATCTTCCTTTGTCCACACATTTCAGCTCAAATCCACTTCTAACCTAATATCCTAGCTACCTTTCACTCTTTGTTCTCCAAATATTGAAGCATGGAATTGCTTTGGACAGAGAAGCTTTTATGTATTGAGATAATTAAAGTCCTTTTTTTATATGTGATTTTGGACATATGATTATTCATGGGAAAAAAAAATCAATTTTCTTTATATACATCTATCCTTATATAATACTCAAAAAAAAAAAAAATTGTCTCTAAATTTTTTAATTGCATTCTATGTAGTTCTGAAAAAAAAAATCTAAATATTCAATATGTCATTCCGATCATAATTTTTTTTTAATCGAAATGTCATGTATTAAAATATATATATATATATATATATATAAACTTAAAAGTTACAAAACTTATATGTTCTATTTTTTAAGTCTTTAGATTATTTTTTTCTATTTCAATCGAGGCATTTTAGTGAAAAAAAATATTTAAGTGAAAAAATTGATCAGAATAATAGATTGCATATTTCAAATACCTTCAACTAGTTTAGTGGTAAGCAAGATAATTTTCAAAAAGATTTTCTGTTAATATACAGAATTTGAATTTTGGAATTACATTTATTGGTAGGAGTTAAACCTTATGGTTTTTTTTTTTAATATAATTAATCATATTTTCAATGCGAGATTGAAAGAGGTTAAATTTTATCTTTTTCATTCTGAATAAAATTAGTCATATCTCCAATATGTGACGAAGATATATAGATAAAACAAAAAATTTATATGGTAAAAAAAATAGTAATTAATTGATCATGAAAAGAAAATCACACCCTATCCATCTAATAGTAATCAAATCTGTATTTTTAGAAAAGAAACTAAGAAATAGAGCCCCTTTTCACGTCTGTTTTTTTTTTTTTTTTTTTTGAAAAAAAAATTAGGAATAGAAACCCTTTTTTTTTTAATCAATGAATTTGTAGTTGAATTTACAAGTATCTCTCTTTTTTATTGCGTTTCCCCTCCAGACACTATTGATTCATGAAAAAGAAAAATTTCACCGTGCAGAGTTGAATTTACCTGTATTCTAATCAAAGTTTGCACACAACTACACTGATGACCACCTCTTCGAAGACAAGCAATGAGTAGCACCTAAGAAATTAACAAGGTAAAAGAAAAGCTACTCTAAAACAGCATCTCACCGCAAGGATTTGAGGGTCTGTAGTCGGCAGTCACCAATAGGGTGGCCATTTATTTATCCAAACTTTTTCACTCTTCTGAGTACGTGGCCCTTGTTTACTTGCTCTATTTCATCTTCGGTTTCCAAAGGACTCAATCTTGTCGCCAAATATAAGTGCTTGTCATAGCTCATAAATTAATATTGTAACATTTCATTTCTCTCTTTGATATTCTGAATATTACAGGATAGGATATCTGTATAGTTTGGAAAATTTAAGAAGAAGGTCATCATGGTGATCACTACTACTATAGTAGATTCTGATGAGAATCTGAACTCCACTTTTGCTTCCAGATATGTTCGCACTCCACTTCCTAGGTATGTTTTTTTCTCTGTTAATTAGTATATCCTATGTTTCTTGCCTTCCATTCGGTTTTTAAAGCAACAACTTGAATATATAGATGGACGGTTGAAATCATTTCCCTGCATGTAAACATCCATCCGATCCTTCATTGGGTTTTGGGCAATTCCAGTATTTGGTTTGGATGGATATATACGAGGAGGAGATGAGGGAGGAATGAAGGGACTTTCTTGTTTTTGCTGTTTTTCTCTTTGTTTCTACTAGTCTTGAACCATGGAGGTGGACGGGACAGACATTTGGTCTTTGATCCACCAAAGAGAACTTTACAGCTACATCAACTTTGGTTGCCATTGGCACTTAAGAAATTTAAAAAAGAGATGCCCTTTTTAGTAGTGTCTCGATATATTTTACTTTTCGTCACTGGATAAGATAAGTGGTGTTTAGAACTTGAGATCAGGCCAAGCAGATCCAAACTAATGGATTTGGAATTTGGTTAATTTGTTCACTCACTTTTAATATTTCAATTTGGTTTCAAATTAAAAGGAAAAAAATGTTCTTCATATTCAATATCTATTAGAATCATATCTCTAGTGTTCAAAAAATAAATAAATAAATAAATAAATCTTATATGGAATTTAAAAACTAAAAGATTGGTTCTTTGTATTTATTATAAATATTCCTCATCTCAAAAAATTATTATAATTGATGTTAATTTGTTAATATTCAGCACTGTCTATGCTAATACCCTTTTGTAGCATTTTTTTGTGCACTGGGACCTAGACTGTCATTTTAGTTGTCATTTGGAATGGTTGAACTACAAATTTTTACTTTGCTTGTTTTTGTCAATAGAGTCTCTGCTTTCATTTTATGACTTTGAGCTGTGGATATGTAATGCTAATTGTGAAGTTCTTTGCCAACCTGCAGGTTCAAGATGCCGGCGAATTCAATGCCAAAGGATGCAGCATACCAGGTGATAAGTGATGAGCTGATGCTGGATGGAAATCCAAGGCTCAACTTAGCATCTTTTGTAACAACATGGATGGAACCTGAGTGTAATGATCTCATCATGGCTTCCATTAACAAGAATTACGTCGACATGGATGAATATCCTGTTACGACTGAGCTACAGGTTTTATATATTCTCTTATTATAGTAATGGATCACTATTTAAGAAGAATTTGGAGATAATCATGCATTTCATTATTGTTGCAACATGTGAAAAATATTGTCTTCTCCAGATGGTGTAGGATGTGACTTATGAGAAGGGCTGATATTCATCATCCACAGCAAAACCTTAGTACTGTTAGCGTATCATATTCATAGCATGAAGTAATGAGTTATGGAATATGATTTTAGATTACCTTGTGTCTAGCACACTAGTATGACTGGTCTTCGAAATGCAAAAGGACTTTTATTCACATTTTGCATTGTAAGATGAATTTAGGAGCAACTAATTATTAATTAAGTGTAGTAGTGGACATCATATTTTTAAAGACTATGACATTTACGCTTTGTATTTTAATTCTGATTATGCAGAATCGATGTGTAAATATGATAGCCCACCTGTTCAATGCTCCTGTTGGGGATAGTGAAACTGCAGTTGGTGTGGGGACTGTGGGATCATCAGAGGCAATAATGCTGGCCGGATTAGCTTTTAAAAGGAAGTGGCAGAATAAGAGGAAAGCAGAGGGCAAACCGTACGATAAGCCCAACATAGTCACAGGAGCTAATGTGCAGGTGAGTTTTGCATTATGGCAGTCATGCATCTTAGTTTAGAAGCGAATCTGGTATCCTTCCCATCATTTTTTCTTGTGAAGAATGATACATTTGCTTTTGAACTTATGTGACACTGTGTATGCTCTTTATTCATATATGTCAGGATGTTGCTACTTGTACCATGTTGTTTGTTACCTTCGAACAGTAGTACAATATTTTGGTATTCTTTTTCTCAGCATATTGAAAATTGTGATGTTACTGAATCATTAGTTCATGGTGCTTCAATAGTCATAAATCACACATTTTAAGAGTAGAGAACAAATTCAATCGAAGCTGCTACGAGAACAGAAACATACTCAAGTTGTACATCACTTGAGCAAGAACTTTACAGTAGTTCTATATATTTGCCAAGACTGAAAGCATCAATCTATTTCAATGTTCATTCAGTACAGCAGGATCTTTTTGTATGGGCTCGTGTTTTATGTAAGAATTAATGTCTGCTGTATATGCTTGCCAATTTCATAAGAATGAGGTAATCTCTAGCGTCAATGAATTTAAGTCAAAGAAATCCTAAACTGGAAAACATTCATGGTCTGCAAAATTACACAGAACATGGAAGAACAGGTGTTGCAAGGACCTGCAGGGGCCTGGATTAGACCAAAACTACAAGCAAATAGTTTCTTGGCTTTGTTTTTTTCAGCTTTTCAAGCAACAATGATAGAGAATTAGGGAGTTATCATAGCTTGAATTTACTGCCATTATATACATCCACCTGATGATTTGGTCACTTGGAGCAGTTTCGCTAAACTTTCCCTGTATTTCTTTGTGCAGGTTTGCTGGGAGAAATTTGCAAGGTACTTTGAAGTTGAACTGAAGGAGGTGAAGCTGACGGAAGGGTATTATGTAATGGACCCGGTGAAAGCAGCTGAGATGGTGGATGAGAACACAATCTGTGTTGCAGCCATTTTGGGATCAACACTTACTGGAGAGTTTGAAGATGTGAAACTTCTTAATGAGCTTCTCACCAAAAAGAACAAGGAGACTGGTTGGGATACGCCGATTCATGTTGATGCTGCCAGTGGAGGGTTCATTGCTCCTTTCCTTTGGCCTGATCTTGAATGGGATTTCCGTTTGCCATTGGTGAAGAGCATCAATGTTAGTGGTCACAAATATGGCCTTGTTTATGCTGGCGTTGGTTGGGTTGTTTGGAGGACCAAGGAAGACTTGCCAGATGAGCTAATATTTCACATCAACTACCTTGGATCTGATCAACCCACTTTCACCCTCAACTTTTCAAAAGGTAATACATAGTGAAGGTTATCTTTTTAAGCTACTTTGGTTTACCTTCTTGTTATCGACGTGGAAGGTGTCTGTGGATTTCTAGGAGTCCTCTATTGTTATACTATCGGAGTGCCTTGTAAAATAATATTTGAATCGTGAGATGTCCACTTGAATTAGATCAGTGTGTAGCATTGTAACAGTTTAATTTGCACGTTTTGTAATGGTTTTAGTTTGCTCCTTTAACTAACCCCTTTTTTCTTCCACATTTTTTCCAGGTTCGAGTCAAATAATCGCTCAATATTATCAGTTTATACGGCTTGGCTTTGAGGTAAATTTAATGGATCGTCATGGAACAGAGAAAAGGGGACTTTTTCTTATTCCCAGAGTTAATCCACTTTAAGGATTCTGGTCTGGATCAACAGTTTTTCACTATTTGGAGTGTTTTAGAGAAACTTGTTATGAAATATGTTGGGATGCTCTGTGCCATTTTTCTAATTGTATGTTAATCTTTGTATCAGGGTTACAAAAGTATCATTGAGAATTGCTTGGAGAATGCAAGAGTGCTGAAAGATGGATTAGAAAAAACTGGGCGGTTTGACATCGTCTCCAAAGACGTTGGGGTGCCTCTTGTGGCCTTTTCTCTAAAAGACAGTAGCAAGCATACCGTGTTTGAAATAGCTGAGAGTTTGAGAAGGTTCGGGTGGATAATTCCGGCCTATACAATGCCAGCTGATGCCCAAAACATTGCTGTCCTCCGTGTGGTGGTCAGGGAAGACTTCAGCCGGAGCCTGGCGGAGAGGCTTGTCTTGCACATTGAGCAAGTTTTGAAGGAAACAGACCTACTTCCTAGCCGCGTTGCCGTTCCAGCAGCGCACATTGCGGCAACTGTTGACAAAACACGAGAGAACATGGAAGGTAAGAAGGCTGATAAAAAGAGTACGAGGGACATACATGAGGAAATCGCTCTGTACTGGAGGCGGCTTGCCAGTGGCAGGAGAGCTGGAGTGTGCTAGTTTCTTAACATCAATCTTCTTGGAAATATTATGGTCATCGTACATTGTGGTTGTTTGTGATTTTAAAGCTACCAGCATTCTATGGCTGCATATCCTATATCGTGTGTTTTATGAGTGCCACAAATAACATGGATTCTCGTCAGGTGTTCGGGTTATTGTACTTCAAACATCAGATTTAAGAATCTTTAAATAAAACAGGTCTTCGTCCAGTCTCATAATTCCCAGATCAAGCTACCCTAGAAAAAACTCTGTGATTCTCATCCAGGTCAAGTATACACCCTACACAGCCTCCATGGTGGCCGAAATGAATTTCACAAAATTCTCCCCATCAATATGAACTTGTCCGTCATAATTCAAGGAGAAAAAATGAGTTATGCAATTCAAAATTGCAGGTCATTAATATTATTTTGTTCTAAAAAATATATTTTTTTCTCATATTTTTCAATAATTTCTATTTATCTTCTTATACTTTCTATTCCTCAAAACATAACACAAGATAAAATGAAATAGTGCATGAATTTGACTAGAAAGGTACTAATTAATTAGTTATTAAAACTAGAGAAATTATTTAATTCATTTTGTAAAACCTGAGAGACTAATTTATAATTTACTCTCTCTCTCTCTCTCTCTACTAATAATTTAAATAGAGGAAAAGCAATCAATCGAATCGGACACATCAGAAAGCAATATTTGTAAAGACAGTAGGGTCTGTCTCTAGTATTTATATTTTTCCAAGGGTTACTACCTTTTCCTTATTCTTTTAAATAATAATGATAATATTTTTAGTCAAATTCTTATGCATTCATTTCACTCTCAAGCTTGATTCAACTGCTCAAAAGTACTTGATGTTTATCTCGTCAAAATCACTTAGTTTAATGCCTAGGAATTAGACAAATGATAATTGACCAATCTAAGCTAAAACGTGGATGAATAAGCAGCCTTTGATATGAAACAATATTCATCTAGGAAATTAGGGTAAATTTTAAATTAATCCCTCTAGTTTCGAGAAACGAATTCATTATTCTTTCTTATTTTAAAAACTAATTATTAGCTTTTTTTATTAGTATGAATCATGCATAATTTAATATTATTTTATTCTATTATTGCAATTATCCTTTGCAACCAATCCTGGCATTGCAGTCCCTAGAATTGTCTTCATTGACATTTTTCCAACTCTGTGGTCTCTATTCCTCTAACAAAACTTGTTCTCTTGTAGGGAAAAAAAATTTCTTTATTTCGTCAGTGCAACACATTGCAAACTAGTCCGAAACATCACCATTTGAGGGTTTGTTTCCCTCAAGTTTGGCGTAGGTCAAGCTTGCTCTCATTACCAAACATTCATCTGCTGCCACATGCACAGCAAATACAATGAACATGGGTCAAAAGACAACACACCAGCAATCTGAAAGGATGAAAGCTTCCGAGAGAATCAAGATGCCTATGGTTACCAGCTTGTCATCACGCTGGCAACACCAAGGGATACTGAGGCTAAAACTCGTATTACTACATCACTTGTATTGACAAACAAAACAAGGAACACTTTCGAACACCACCTTGGCACAAAACCTATAGAACATCCAGACCTCCAGAAAAATTTCCAAGATATATTTGATGGAACATAATAAAATTAACAGAAATTTTTCGTTCACACAAACAGGCAAAAAAAGATTCCTCAGAATGAGTGCCGCACCTTCAGAAGAATGAAAATCTCATGATTACTTGGTCTAGAAATATCACAAAAGCTAAAATGGAGATGTAAAAACAGACATTGTTCAAAATTGTGCACTAAATTACGAAAAACAATAGTCATTATAGCATTAGCAAAACATAACTAACCACAGAATTCAAGGAAAAATCAGGAACTTCATGCAGCAGCTTGGGATGCTGCAAGCCTCTTTCTAGCCTCCTCAATGATAGACAACTTAATACCCTTGCCCTTGGGAAGAGAAATCCACGGCTTGGTGCCCTTTCCAATGGTGAACACATTGCCCAATCGAGTGGCAAACTCATGGCCGGTGGCATCTTGAACGTGGATTGTCTCAAAGCTTCCCTTATGCTTCTCCCTGTTCTTGATTACTCCAACTCGGCCTCTGTTCCTACCTCCAGTGACCATGACCACATTTCCCACATCAAACTTGATGAAGTCAACTATTTTGTTGCTCTCTAGGTCCAGCTTGATGGTGTCATTGGCCTTGATGAGGGGATCTGGGTAGCGGATGGTGCGCCCATCATAGGTGTTCAGGTAAGGGATTCCTTTCTGCCCAAACTGAATAGACCGAACTTTGCAAAGCTTAAACTGCATAAGCATTAAACAACAAATGGAATCAATACCTATGGTGATTCCAATCTAAGACATGAAATTACAAAGATACAATTCAGTGTTCTATCAAATTACTGCATGCTCCAGAAAAACAAAAATATCACAAATCAAAGCGACAAAACCACATAGCCAAAAGTATCACAAACCTTGGCCTCATCATCTCTGAGGGAGTGGAGCCGGAAGCGGCCTTTGGTGTCATAGAGGAGACGGAAGCTCTCATTTGTCTTTGGGATTGACACAACATCTGTAACAGAAAGCAAAGTAAAGTGAGCAGCCCAAATAAAGATTATAGAATTTGAGAAAGGAAAAAAGGGAAAAAAAGAAATGATCATATAAGCAAAAAAGAGCAGAAACTCTAACAGCTTATCACACATAATAAACAAGTATGATAAAAAGCTGGCAGACAAGAGCTCTCATAACCCAACACGCATAGTGACCACTTAAAACAAGCGTTAACTTCTGGCATACAAGGGCTCTTATAACCTATCATACACATGATCACTTGCATGCCTCTATTTCTTACTATCATTCCCAAGAGATGTGAAAAATCAAAATAACGGCAAGTTAATCCATTACTTTCTGCAAGAGATAGTAACTATAAAAATTCCTAATTACCATCTAGAACCAGTACCAAAGCATTGAAAATGCAAAATCCTACTCCTATCTAGAAGATCCACATAAATATATAAATAAAACATAAAACTTTTGTGGGAGTAAAGACAGAATTGCACATACCCATGAAACCAGATGGGTAAGTTTTATCCGTCCTAACCTTCCCATCAACAAGGACATGTCTCTGCATCAAAATAGCAATCACTTCACGGTATGTCAAAGCATACTTCAGCCTGTTTCGCAGAATCAGAATCAGAGGCAAGCATTCCCTAGACTTGTGGGGTCCAGATGAGGGCTTGGGTGCCTACAAAACACAAAGTAAAGCTACTTACATTCAGCAAAGAAGACCAGGAAAAGAAGCTAATACAAGGAACAAAATGACACTGCAGCATAGGGTCAGAGATCGCAAACATACAAAAGCACCACCAAGTTTGTCAAGCATCCAATGTTTAGGAGCATTGAGCCTCTTCAAGTGTTTCTTCAACCCTCTAGCCTGTAATTCATCATAAAAGAAGAGATCAGTTATAGCAGAGTAAGAAGAAAAACATCTAAATCAGTTATAGCAGAGTAAGAAGAAAAACATCTAAAACTGATATCATACACAGGTTAAAACAACAACAAGACACACAGAAGGAATTAGGAAAACAAATAAACAAAGGCATAAAGACGTAAAAATAAATTATTTTACTAATATTTTTTTACACAAAACAAAGAAAAACACGGTCTCACCAACAAAATCAAAACAGTTAATCCAATTTCTTTCTACAAAACAATTATTTCCCTCAAATTCGACAATATCAAAACCAACGAGAAAAAATCACCCCAAGTTTTCGTTTTCTTTTTATTTATTTATTTATTGTAAGCGTTGTTCAAAACATCAACCACACAACACTTAAGCGTCAGCAAGATTAGATCAAATCCTATAAGCTAGTTAATCCAAAAACAAAACTAAAGAAACAAACAGGATGTAAGATTAAAAGACCAAAAGCTAACCATTTTTGTTAATGTAAGAAGCTCGAGAGGTAGCTGTGCTGAACTGCGCCTTTCTTCTTCTGTTGCGGCTCTCAGGCTCCTAGTTGAAAAAAGAAAAGAGAGAGATGCAAAAACCCTCTTGCATTAATTATTAGGGTCATTCATTAGTCGAACCCTAGCTTAACCGGTTCGGGCTATTGTTGTTGGGCCTATAATTTTCTTGGACTGATTGAGGCCCAACCTTTTCCATTGGACCATATGGCCATATCATACCGAATTTGTTCTCTACTAAAACTTAATGGGATAAATTCCGTTATAATTACACCTACTTTAAATTTTTTTTCAATCGAATGTATTAATTTTTTTTCACTCGAATAATGCTTCTTTCCAGCTAAATTTTGTACGTTACGTAATATATCCAAAAGGCGACACATGTTTTAGGAGAGACACTCTCCCAAACACATGCTTTATTTCCTCACTTCATAAAAAATAGAAGGAAAAAAACAATAAAAAAGGAAATTTAAAAAAAAAATCAAGAAAGACCAACTGATTGTATCTATTAAACCCATCTTTTAAATCTCAATCTACTTATTATTGATAGTGATTCCAAGCTCACCCGCAACAATAACAATAGTTCCTATGTCACGTGAAAGAAACATGGCTTCTAACTATATTGATAGGCTTTAGGATCCAATAAACTATAGTCTTGATTTCTTTTCTTTTTTCTTTTTTTTAATGTCATCTATTTGTCCCTTTTATGTTTTTATCTTCAGTAAAGGGAGGAAAGAAATCATGTGCCTAGGAAGTATGTCTCAAGACGCGTGTCACCTTCTTAACGCATCACGTGATCTAGGATGAATAAAAATATGGCCAAAAGGACTTAATTGAGGACCCTAAAAAAATTTGGGACTCAAATCAGAAAAAAGAAAAAAAAAAAAAAGAAAGAATAAAGATTTTTTTTTCAACTGACCAACGATTTAAAGATACTTTATTTATAATCAATTAGTTAATTTATTTTCTTGCAATTTTATCTAGGCTTTGGTTAAATAGGTTGCGAGGGAGAAGAAAAAATAAAACAAAAGGATTAGTGTTGAACTTCTCTTCTGTTTTGGAAATGTTGTCTTAAAAATAAAAGAATTTATCCAATATATCCCGACGACATGTATCATCATTAAATCCATGATGGATTTTAATAGAGTTCATTACATAAAATATCAGATAAAGTAATAATTTTCTTGGGTCACGGATAGGGCTACAAACCCAAAGATGAGAAAATCCAGACCACCAGAAAAGATTCTAAGATATAGTTGATCGAACATAACAAAATTAACAGAAACTTTTCTTGTCACTAACAGGCAAAAAAAGGTTTCTCAGAATGAGCGTAGCCTTTCAGAACAAAGAAAATCTCAAGATTACTTTGTCAATACATATCACAAAAGCTAAAATTGAGATGTAAAAACCAGCATTGTTCAAAATTGTGCACTAAATTACGAAAACAACAGTCTATATTATAGCAATAACAAAACATAACCGACCCCAGAATTCAAGGAAAAATCATGAACTTCATGCAGCAGCTTGGGATGCTGCAAGCCTCTTTCTAGCCTCCTCAATGATAGACAACTTAATACCCTTGCCCTTGGGAAGAGAAATCCACGGCTTGGTGCCCTTGCCAATGGTGAACACATTGCCCAATCGAGTGGCAAACTCATGGCCGGTGGCATCTTGAACGTGGATTGTCTCAAAGCTTCCCTTATGCTTCTCCCTGTTCTTGATTACTCCGACTCGGCCTCTGTTCCTTCCTCCAGTGACCATGACCACATTTCCCACATCAAACTTGATGAAGTCAACTATTTTGTTGCTCTCTAGGTCCAGCTTGATGGTGTCATTGGCCTTGATGAGGGGATCTGGGTAGCGGATGGTGCGCCCATCATAGGTGTTCAGGTAAGGGATTCCTTTCTGCCCAAACTGAATAGACCGAACTTTGCAAAGCTTAAACTGCATAAGCATTAAACAATAAAAGGAATCAATACCTGTGGTGATTCCAATCTAAGACATAAAATTACAAAAACACAATTCAGGGATCTATCAAATTACTGCATGGTCCAGAAAAACAAAAACATCACAAATCAAATCAACTCAAAGCAGCAAAACCACATAACCAAAAGTATCACAAACCTTGGCTTCATCATCTCTGAGGGAGTGGAGCCGGAAGCGGCCTTTAGTGTCATAGAGGAGACGGAAGCTCTCGTTTGTCTTTGGGATTGACACAACATCTGTAACAGAAAGCAAAGCAAAGCAAAGTGAGCAACCCAAATAAAGATTATAGAATTTGATGGGAGAGGAAAAAAAGGAAGAAAAATAAATGATCATATAACGGCAAAAAATGGCAGAAACTCTAATAGCTCATCACACATAATAACCACTTCTAATCAAGTATGATAGAAAGCTGGCAGACAAGAGCACTCATAACCCATCACAGATAGTGACCACTTAAAACAAGTATTAACTTCTGGCATACAAGGGCTCTTATAACCTATCAAGCATATGATCACTGGCCAACAACTATTTTGCGGTGTTGCAGGCCTCTATTTCTTAATCATATCATGCCCACCAAGAGATGTGACAAATCAAATAACAGCAACTTAATCCATTACTTTCAGCAAGAGATAGCACTGATAAAAATTCCTACTTACCCATCTAGAACCAGTACCAAAGCATTGAAAAATACAAAATCCTACTTCCATCTAGAAGATCCGCATAAAAAAAAAAACATAGAACTTGTAGGAGTAAAGTCAGAATTGCACATACCCATGAAACCAGCTGGGTAAGTTTTATCCGTCCTAACCTTCCCATCAACAAGGACATGTCTCTGCATCAAAATAGCAATCACTTCACGGTATGTCAAAGCATACTTCAGCCTGTTTCGCAGAATCAGAATCAGAGGCAAGCATTCCCTAGATTTGTGGGGTCCAGATGAGGGCTTGGGTGCCTACAAAACACAAAGTAAAGCTAATTACATTCAGCAAAGAAGACCAGGAAAAGAAGCTAGTACAAGGAATAAAATGACATCTGCAGCATAGGGTCAGAGATCGCAAACATACAAAAGCACCACCAAGTTTGTCAAGCATCCAATGTTTAGGAGCATTGAGCCTCTTCAAGTGTTTCTTCAACCCTCTAGCCTGTAATGCATCATAAAAGCAGAGATCAGTTAAGGCAGAGTAAGAACAAAAACATCTAAAAATCGATATCATACACAGGTTAAAACAACAACAAGACACACAGAAGGAATTAGGAAAACAAATAAACAAAGGCATAAAGACGTAAAAATAAATTATTTCACTAATATTGTTTCACACAAAACAAAGAAAAACACGGCCGCACCAACAAAATCAAAACAGCTAATCCAATTTCTTTCTACAAAACAATTATTTCCCTCAAGTTCGACAATATCAAAACCATCAAGAAAACATCACCCCAAGTTTTCGTTTTCTTTTTATTTACTTATTTATTGCAAGCGTTGTTCAAAACATCAACCACACAACACTGAAGCGTCAGTAAGATTAGATCAAATCCTATAAGCTAGCTAATCCAAAAACAAAACTAAAGAAACAAACAGGATGTAAGATTAAAAGACTAAAAGCTAACCATCTTGCAAATGTAACAAGCTCGAAAGGTAACTGTGCTGATCTGCGCCTGTCTTCTTCTGTTGCGGCTCTTAGGCTCCAAGCATAGGAAAGATGGGAGAGGGACACAAAAGCTCTCTTAAATCTCTTATTAGGGTTTTTTAGTATTTGAACCCTAACTTAACCGGGTCGGGTTATTGTTGTTGGGCCTATAATTTTCTTGTACCGGTTCAGGCCCAACCGTTTGTCCATTGGACCATGTGGCCCCAAGCCATATCGTATGGAATCTGTTCTCTACCAAAAACTGAAGGCCTAAATTACTTGGAAACAGGTCAAAATCATACCATAGAGAATTAGGGAATTATTCGTAGCTTGAATTTACAGCCATTGTTTGGTCACTTGGAGCAGTAATGCTAAATATTCTCCGTATTTCGTTTGGTGGGAGGAATTTGCAAGGTAATTTGAAGTTGAGCTGAAAGAGGTGAAGCTGATGGAAGCATATTGTGTAATGGGCACTGCGAAAGAGTTAAGATGGTGGAGGAGAACACATTCTGTGTTGCAGCCATTTCGGGATCAGCACTTGCCGGAGAGTTTGAAGATTCGAAGCTTCTTAATAAGCTCCTCACAGAAAAGAACAAGGAGACTGGTTGGGATACGCCGATTCGAATTGATGCTGCCTGTGGAAGGTTCCTTGCTCTAGTCCTTTGCTTTGGCCTGAACTTGAATGGGATTTCCGTTTGCCATTGGTGAAGAGCATCGATGTTAGTGGTCACAAATATGGCCTTGTTTATGCTGGTGTGGATTCTGATCAACCTACTTTCTCCCTCAGCTTTTCGAAAGGTAATACATTAAGAGAGTTATCTTTTGAGAGAAGCCAGTTTGCTTTGGTTTACCTTTACATTTCTTGAGATCAACATGGAAGGTTTCTTCTCCATTTCTACCAGAAGATTTTGTAGAAATAATACAAGTTCTTCGTTGTTATAACATTGGAGTGCCTTTAAAATGATTTGTATTTGAATCCTGAGAAGTCCACTTGAAATTAGATAGTTCATTGCATTGAAACAGTTAAATGTTGCACCTTTGTAATTTTTCGGTTTCCTTTTACTAACTAAGCTCTTTTTTCTTCCACGTTTTTATCAGGTTCGATTCAAATAATCGCTCAATATTTTCAGTTTATAGGGCTGAGGTAAATTTCTTTTTCTAATGGAGAATCCTTATAGTCACCATAGAACTGAAAAGGTTGTGACTTTTTTACGCCCTGAGTTAATCCAAATGACTTTGCAGTTCTCTTGTGGACTTGATTTTTCTTGATTTTTTTTTCCCCATGCTCATTGATATCCTTTTTACAACCTTTTCAAGATCCCATTTAAGGATGCTCTGTTCTAATTTTCTAATTGTATGTTACCCTTGCGTCAGGATTACAAAAGAATTATTGAGAACTGACTGGAGAATGCAAGAGTGCTGAAAGATGGATTACAAAAAACAGGGCGGTTTGATATTGTCTCTTAAGGATGTCAGGGGTGCCTCTTGTGGCCTTTTCTCTGAAGTACAGTAGCAAGCATTCTGCGTTTAAAATAGCTGAGAGTCTGAGAAGGTTTGGGTGGATAACTCCAGCCTATACCATGGCAGCTGATGCCCAAAAAATTGCTGTGCTTTGTGTGGTGGTCGGGGAAGACTTCAACTGGAATCTAGCAGAGAGCCTTGTCTCGCACGTTGAGCAAGTTTTGAAGGAAATGGATTCACTTCCTGGCCGGGTTGCAGTTCAAGCAGTGCACATTGGCTACTGTCATCGAAACACGAGAGAACACAGAACGGAAGAAGGCCTGTTAAAAGAGTATAAGGGTAGCACAGGAGGAAATCAACCTGTTCTGGAGGCGGCTTGCCAGTGGCAGGAAAACTGGAGTCTGCTAGTATCTGAACATCAAGCTTCTCTTTGGAAATATTATGGTCACTGTACCTAGTGGTTGTTTGTGATTTTAAAGCAACCAGCATTTTGTGGCTGCATATCCATATACTCTGTGTTTTATGAGACCACAAATAACATGGATTCTCTTCAGGTGTTCTGTTATTGTACTTCAAACATCAGATTTGAGAATCTTTAAATATAGCAGGTCTTCTTCCAGCCTCGTAATTCCCTGATCAAAGCGGCCCTAGAAAAACCAGCGTGATTCTCATCGAGGCCAAGCATTCGCACTCCATAAAATCCACGAAGGCCGTAATGAATGTTCAAAATTCTCCTCATCAATCTGAACTTGTCAATTATAATTGAAGGAGAAAAAATTGTTCTGTGCAAGTCACAAGTGCATGTCGTTCGTGTTTACATATAGGTCCAAACTTCTCTTTTCTCGAGCTCAGCTAAAATTAAAACCAAACAAATCTTTTGTTCCAGAAATTCGGCCATGTAAGGAGTAATCTAATACCAAAACCCTGACTTAAATTTTATAGAGAAGCCAAAAAAAAAACATGATTCAATACAGAGAACTGTCTTTCATCTAGCTTCAAAATCCATTAAGGCACCAAATTTATTATGTCTCATATTTTTCCGAAACAATTTAAACATAAAAATGAAATAAAAGAACATTTACCTGCATCGAATCTTGCAGAGATCAAATCAAATCAAATCATAGATTGAATATGAGGATAATATGATTCAAGGGTTGAAGCTAAAACCATGGAACAAGCACCCAACAAAGCTCCGTGATTCAGTCAGTGCGTGAATACTCTCAAAGAAAATTGGAGAGAATGTTATCAAAGAGAGATGCTACAATGAAATGTAACAACGAAAATGAGAGGTAGTGACAAAACATGTACTGGTAATTTCGGAATATTGAATTTTATCTATTTCTTAAGCAAAAAGGGCTCTATTGTGTTTTACAGTGACAACAAAAGGATGCATAAACAAGCAACAATCATCAACCCAATGTCGGTGCCATGCTTATTTCCCATTGGGAAAATTAGCTGATAATAACCAAAAAAAAGAAACAGCTTCTATTATTATCCAAGGCAGATTCTACAATGACAAACAACCATCGATGGGGGATTTCTTTAACTTTAATCTTGAGTGGCTGCTCCTTGGTTAAGCTCTGCAAATCTCATGCCCACACGCATCGAATGCTTCATGAACTTCTCAGCACATCTCATGACACAAGTTTCCTCTTGCTTCTGAAGCGATTTGCGCGTGAAGCTATCTACACAATCATTAAAGCATCTCTCCACAAGTGAATTATACATCTTCAAACTGCAGATGCCCAGCAACCACAAAAACAGAGTTTAGACAACTCATCTCCATCACTTGATATAAAAACTCAAACATGGCATCAAAAGACACCACTTTCAAAGTTTTCAATGTTTAAAGAAGTAAAATAACTACAAATAATTGACAAGAACATCTAGAACGTTACTTTCTAGAACCAACTAACCAACCAAATCACAACTGCTTGTTAAATCAAGAAAGCTTTATGTAACTTCGAAAATGAAAAGGGTGAACTAAAAATTATCTAATGTAGTTCCCAAAACGTCCAAATGCAACATAAATGGTGTTGCATTGGTTTTAAAGGAGAACATTCATCTGGGCTTCACATAATTAATGTCACATACAAAGAAAACCAATCACGTGACTTTTTGGAGTATAATAAACCAGGATGTGAAGCCCCCACTTGATAAAATGCAACAACAACAACAACAAAGAAACAAAGTAGAAAAGATTTCACAGATCTAAGGAGATGTTACCTGTCGCGCAACTGAAGGTTTTCGATCATGGAAAGCATACGGGTCTGGTCTTCTTTAGACATACCTTCCATTCCTCCTAGCATGTCCTTGTCCATTATTACCTCCTGATTTCACAGATCTTTCTTCGGGGTTTTGATTGATTTTGTTGGTTCTGCAACTTGAGAGCTTGTGGTGTGGCAGTTAGGGTTTTAGGCATCTCTCATTTTATACCCCGCTGGTTTCAGTAAGCACAGTAACGACGTCGTTCAAAGGGGCACTGTATTTTATTTATTTACTTTTGGAAATTTACTAGCCGGTTAAATCATTCAAAATTTTATGATATTTTAATTAAAATCTTGTATTTAATTTATTTTTTTATTGTGTTTTATATAAATTTTACAATTAAAAATGATTCGTTCTTCTTTATGTATTGATTTTTAAATAAAAATTTATAATAATTTAAACTGAAATATTAATCTAAAATTAAAAATATAATTTTCTTAAGATTGTATCCAAAAAATAAATTTACAAATAATGTATAAATTTAAATAAGATTGTATTCAAAAAATAAAGTTACAATTAATGTATAGGTTAGTATAAAAATTTAAAAAAAAAATTATTCTTATTTAATGCTAATGAGATAATTATTTTTTTAATATTATAAAACTAATTTTTTTAAATAAAATGATTGAAATAATTTTTATAAAAAAATTATCAAATAATTTAAATACAATTTTTCATGCTAAGATTATTGATTAATTTATGAATAAATAAATAAAAACAATTTGGTGAGGCTTAGTTCGGGCCCGAAGCGAGCCAGTCTCCTCAAAAAACAAAATTGGATGACACGTTGTCCACTCTCTATGAAACAAAAGATGTGTTATCTAACCGTAATTTTCAACAACTACTAATATTATTATTACTAACCCTCTTTGACAAGCATCTTTCCTTTCTCTTATTCACGTGTATGCATATCACAAATCATGTCATTCAATTAATTCCGTAAGCATCCACGTGAATCATATCGTTCTTAATCAATGTTCACATTGCATTCACTCATAACATTTCATACGCATATTATTCAAGCATAAAAATTTATCGAAATAAATCATCATGCCATTCACATTCATCATCCACATTCACCGAGCAATCATAACATGCAATCATCGAGCATATTTACATGTTACCGAAGGTCGTCTCCCATGTATCTTACTTGCGCCTTCCTTTCCTTCCTAGGTAAATTGTGCTCCGATAGGTTGAGAATATTATCGTTGTGCCTCACAACGAGTGCAAGACACAAGGCACCGTGTCCTTCCTATTATGTTATTAGGTATAGTTTTAGTCGTGGAAGCCTATTGACAACCATTAGGTCCAACTATGCTTGCAAATTTCGACCCAAAAAACACTATTACATTTTTCTATTTTAACATTTCTATTCTAATAGTTTAGGTCGAAATAACTAGATATGTGTCTCTCGATTTTGTCAAATTCTTTTTTCTATTAGCCTAATTAAATTTATCTAGTCAATACTCGTTATTTGGTAGCCTATTTTCTTTTCCCATTATTGATTATTATCTTTTAATTATATAATTCAACTACTTATACCATCATTACTAAACAATAGCATATAGGAAATAAATTAATAAAAACTACTAAGAACTACAACTACACATTACTAACTATTGCATATTTAACATGTCCAAAATCGATTGACATACAACCTATTCCCTTTTTACATGGCCATCAGTCTAGTACCACCTCGCTACAAAAAGTGGTTTCTTTATTTATAAGTCTATTTTTTATTTTCTCTAGGTAACTATCTATATGTTCATTACTTTTACTATCATATAAAATATCGTGGCCATACCTAAAACATACACTAAAATATCGAGAATTAGTAGTATGACAACATGGAGTAGGTCCACCTTACAATCTTAGGTAAGATACACGCTTCGAAAAGATGAAGGAGTCCCCTTAGTTACAAGCTCCAAAGAAAACATAGTCATCATTGTAAATTCTTCACCTCTGCATCACAAGAATTTGGTGAGCTATTGCCCAATAAGTTAATCGTGAATGATATGGAATGTATGCAAGTGAAATGCATGTGAAAATCACTTTCATGTCTTTTCTTAAATCTTTTTCCATGCCATGAAATCTTTTCCATGATCTTTTTGAAAAATATTTTGTCTTTGGATGCACCTTGTCAAGTGTCTAAATATGCACGTCTTTATATACTCGGTCTTCTACCGAGCGCCTAAATGTACACATCCGCACATGCTCGTTGTCGAACATCAAAATATACATGTACGCACATGCTCGATCTTGTCGAGCATCTAAATGTTCACGTCCGCATATACTCGACCCATGAAAGCCATGAACCACGAAAACCTTTTTCCTTTGCCTTTGAAAAATCACAAAGAAAAATCCTTTTTATGATTTCAAACCTTTCTATAACTTTGGCATGTATATGCATTTTAATGTAAATGCATAACCTCATGATTCATTAGAATGCATGCCATGAATGATGTGCATTTATGCCATGAAATTGCATAACTTAACAACATAAAAATGCACATAATAAATCATTACCTTCCAATTCATCACAATCCAAACAATGAAATATTTAGCATGGTGACCATACTACTTCACGAGTTGACAAGATCAATTAATCACAATACATTGCACCTCATTCAATCTCATCATCCAAATAACATAGGCAACCATGTCAAAACACATAATTACATATCATGAGTACATGTGATGTGGTTAACTAACCATGAAAACACCAAAAACACTAAAAATAAATAAAGTACTAAAAATCCTAAAATTTTAGTATTTAGGTCGAATGGTGTCCAAGTGAAACTTGATTTATTTTTCAATTTTAAGGTTAATTTTCATGTTAAATCATCTAAATGCATTACAATAATATGTTTTCAAGCCATTAAACATCAATTAAACAAAAGCATCAAAAACCCTAAATTCTACTATTTGGGTCGAATGGTCCTGTTAGAATTAGGCTTAGAAATTTTTTTTTTTTACTTATTTTCATACCCAATTAACCTAATCTAACTTTAATTGCATCGATTTTACCTTCTAATCCATTTTTTCCAATTTGATCTAACCAAGAACCCTAACCTTATTTTACTAAATTCATTCAATTAAACCCAAATTAATTCGAGCAACATCCACAATTCACATATAATAATAAATCCTTATGATATAAGTAAGATTAACTTACCTTAAAATCTCCAAATTAGTCCCTATTGAGTTGATTTTTCCTTGAAAATCTTTTACTCCCCTTTTCCTCTTTAATTTTGACAAATGCTATGTTTTTCCTCCTTGAGATTCTTGACCTTCCAACTATGATTTTAGGTCTAATATAGTGTTTTAAGGGTGATTTTAGTGTTTAGATGAACTTGGTGTATAATTTTCTAATAAAATTTTACAAGAGTTTGTCTTGATTTTCTAATTTTTCTAACATTTTTCCTTCATTTTTATAGCTAAACTCATAGGTAAGCTTAAGTAGGCTTTTAACTTGTTTGACTTGATCTCCACCGTTCATTTGGTTTAATCTTCACCTTTGATCTTTTAATCCTAGCCCTTCATTTTGGTTTAATCTTAGCCATCTATCTTTCTTTAAATTCTAACCCTCCATCACATTAATCTCTAACCATCTATTTGGGTATTTAATTATTGGGTTTACCTCATAATTGATCCTCGTATAGTTTTAATTTTTTTTTTTATCGAGACTCTCTATTATTGTTTAGCTTGATTGAAACCCTTTAGTTTTATAAATTTTTTTAACTCGAGCCATCCGTTATAACATCGTTAACTATTCATTCTACATGATAAGTTAAAACTAACATTAGCCAATCATACAAGAACATGTGGCAATGTGGGCTCTCAAGACAATTATATCAAATTAGCATTATTTTTCAAAAATGTCATAGAAGGTGACTTGAAAATCAATACCATAATTCAAATCAAATTTCTTCTGCTTTTATAAAAATACAAAGGAATGGCTATATTATTGTGTATTCCTACTAAAATTTATATGTTTTGTACTTAAATACCGTGAAAATTTTTAACATAGGCTAGGACAACACAGATTAACCTTCACGAGTGGTTATTTACAATAGAAAATTTTACCAAAAGTTGCTTAATTGGAAGTGTTTATATGGACGGTTGGATCCCTCTCGCTCATTTTGATTTCGAACCCTAGATAGGAATCCAAGTCAATTTTCGATTTGACTATGTAATCGGGGCAAGTTTATTTGGACATGGTCTTTAATTAGCAATTATCATTTTATGAAACGAGCATCGTTGTTACATAAAGAGCGAAACATTGCCACACTCGGATGGCATGCTAAGTTAATTATCGGAAAATGGTTATGAATCCATGCATAGATGCACCAATTTTATTTGGTATTTCCCACAATATTCACCAATCGTATTGACATCTTCATTCTCTCGGATTCAACCTCGGCAAGTTAGCCAAAGTATCTTTGGTTAAAGACCCCGATTCACCATTCTAATTCCCTAAATTTGATATATATATATTATTCATGACCTTCATGGCGAGCAAGTATAAACATGGTAGTCATATCGGGCCATTGAACTTCTAGGAGTATTGCAAGGGCATCCGAAATGGGTGATGGATCAACAATAAAAATGAAAAAAAAGCTTTGAAATGTAATAAATTATAAACATTGCCATTTGTCTTTGTATAATTGGCTATTATTAGTTTTAACTTGCCATGTAAGATGAATAGTTAATGATGTTATAATAAAGGGTTTCAATCCACAAATTTATAAAAGTAGAAGGTTTCAATCAAATTGAAAAAATAATAAAGCATCTCGATCAAAAAAATAAGAATTGTACAAAGGCCAATTATGGGGCAAGCCCGATAATTATTACATTCATTAATTATAGAGGCAAGGTGGCGGGTTGAAGCGAGAAGATTTAACCAAAAATGTCAATTCTAGTCCCTTGATTTATCATGTTTTTTCGATTATAACCCTTGTAACACCCCCAATCTAGGACCTAATATATTAAGAATGTTATCGTCCTTGACCTAAATTCGAGGTGCAATGAATGCAAACCAACAAGATACTAT